GGTCCATGTATAACGTTGTTGTCCGAGTAGCAGGTCCATGTATAACGTTGTTGTCCGAGTAGTAGGTCCATGTGTAACGTTGTTGTCCGAGTAGCAGGTCCATGTGTAACGTTGTTGTCCGAGTAGTAGGTCCATGTATAACGTTGTTGTCCGAGTAGTAGGTCCATGTATAACGTTGTTGTCCGAGTAGCAGGTCCATGTGTAACCCCTGCTGCTCAAAAAACAACGGTTTTTGTACCATAACTTACAAATACAATACAGTATAAATAGTTATCATTCACCGGTTTTTGTACCATAACTTACAAATACAATAGAGTATAAATAGTTATCATTCACCGGTTTTTGTACCATAACTTACAAATACAATAGAGTATAAATAGTTATCATTCACCGGTTTTTGTACCATAACTTACAAATACAATCAGTTTATAAACACATTTAAAACTTACTTTCAGTAGAATTGTGTAAGCAATTAAAAACTCTAACGTTAACTTAAAAAACTTAAGTTTGTGAAGTTGCACTAAGTTTTGTAACTTCAACCAGTAAAACTGAAAGCATGTCATATTTTTGAAACACGGATAGTTTGTTTATTTCAGCTCAAAGCTACAGGTAGTGCTGTCTGCTGTGGTGAATCGACTCTTGAAATTTAGAGAAGAGTATTAACATCCTTCAATTATAGTGTTAAGTGCGAGATGATAAAAGAAATATTTTATAACATTTATGAAAATGATAGAAAAAAAAAGGACGAAAAAATGAACAGATTAAATGTTTTTGACAAAAAAAACATTCAAATTATTAATAACACTAATTTAAATATTTTTACCTTTTGTTCTCTCTCAGAACCATCCTTTTAATGCTATTAAAAAAGTGTAAAATACATTGATACGTACGGAGTCACGGTAAGACAAATGAGCTCCAGACAGTGTAAAATACCGAGTTCTCCAGCGACGAAAAATCTTCCATTTTGCTTTCTTTTCTTTCAGTTGTCCCTGATCAAGGTAACAAAATTGATAAATAACTTAAGGGGTTATTCTCTAAAATAAAATACATATTAAAAAGTAATGTTCAGAAAACCTTCGTAATAAAAAGCTTTTTAAGACATATATATTTGATTTAATATTTTTATGGAATGGAATTGAAGTAGTCTAATTATGAAATATTAATACTAAGATTGATCAATGGTACAAAAATCTTTTTTACAGAAACAGCAACGACTATATTTCAACAGTCCAAGATTGTTTAAAGAAAGAACAGTTCTGTACAGCTAAACATTCAAGTACACATGCGTTCCAGAATTTAATAACCCTCAACTGACCAATGTGTTTATATACTGGTCACTATTGGTAGGGTCCATACATCATATTAATCACTTCTGAACTGACCAAAGCATATTGTTTAAATCACTCGGTTTCTATGTAAAAACAGTAATTAGTGGGATTAATTACAATATTGATTGGTTTTTTTTTCGTTAAAATTTTATTATGACTCATAAATTATTAAGGACCGTGTAACCAATAATCATGGACCCACAAACAGCTTAGAAAAATGTGTTTAAAAAAAGTCACCAGGGTCCTTATGGATCCCGTCGGTAGTTTTAGGGTTAGTGATAGCAGCAAGGGATTAGTTAAAGTTAGCAACTAAAAAGTTGTTGAACTACTGGAAGTAAATGTTACTCCTTGTAGCCCTTACCTCGATCACTGGCTCACTGTCTTGCAAGAAGCCCATAGCACGATCTGGATGGTTACACAGAAAGCAACCCCACAGATTCTTAGGGGCATTATATTCGAATACATCAAAGAATCTGTTATTTCTCAGTTCACTAATCAGTAAGTCTTGATCCTTAATTGAAAAATACGAAAATTCAAAGAACTAGGTTAAGCTTACAGTAATTAAGATACAACATATTTGAACAAGAGGGTGGCATGGGTATAAAATCCAGAACCGGGAACCTACTGTGAAAATACCTGAACCCTGTTCTTGTAACAAAAACCAAGAACTTCCATTAATTATATCACAAATATTAATCTTTTAAGGTAACACTGACCCCCAAAGAGGGCTCCCAATATCTCAAAAATACAATTTTCAAATTTAGCCTAAATCGAAAGTTTAACCTCTTTTCTACACAAGTTACTCATTTTTTTCTTAACTGCTATTTTCTCAGAACACATTTTTCACTGGGCTCACCAATTTATTAGCATGATAACTTAATCATTAAAGCCAATATCAGCATGAAAGTTAACACACTTGTTGATATTACACTCTTTTATAGCTTGAAAAGTTTAAAATTCAAAAATCTTAACCAACTGTCTTGTTACGAGTCTAATTACCACTAACGAAGGCATTAATTAAAATTAATTGCCCATAGCTCGTTAACGTTGCAGAAAATTTGCAAAGTTTATAATTCGAGCTATGAGGATGTTCACAAAGAGCGTGTGTATCAATTTTCAGGTGTTTTTATCAGTCCTAAGTAAAGTTATGACGTTAAAACAGTTTATGTTATGTATTTCTTTATCCCTGCCACATTAATTATACATATGACTGAAAGTGTACGTTCAGAGATTGTGACATGATGCTTTTGTTTTGTGTTCAACTAAAAGGTTATAAGAAGTGTTTAACAGTGTTTCCTCAGCATGTCCAGTTTTAAGGGTCAGTGTTACCTTAAATGCACGATACACAGTTAAATGCTGTATACAGTACAGATACATTTTTTCTTCAGATCTGTAGATGAGTACAGCTTCTTTCAGTACTGAAAATGACCATTTCAACCTTATACGTATTATGTCGGCCATAGATTCATGCTTACAACTAAAATGTTGTCATATTTTCGTTCAAGTCAAATTAATAAATGATACTCAGAAGGTGAAAAAAAAAAGATCAGATTGAGTAACTTAAAACCCCCAAAAGATACCCAGGTTTTCAAGTACTCGTGCCAACCTCTACTTTTAACCTACATTTGACATTTACTTTTATTTCAAGATTTATGTATATTTTTCTTAGTATTAAATCTAGATATACAACACTACTGTATAAAATGTGGGTTTTTCTTTTTAAAGTTTTAAAATTTTTCATAAAATTAAGACTGCTATAGAAAACTTCAGTAATATTACGCTAACTGATGATAAAACTTGCGTTAATAAAATTGATAAAAATAATACTTCTCACTACTGGGTTGTAGCAAACCCTAAGCCAATTTGATTGCCTGTAGACAGTCTAACATCCTCAATAAAAACACAACAACAATTTAATGAAGTAACTGCTAATACTTACTTTAGCTGATGGAAAGGCAGAGGTCACTAGTGTCAGGAATGTCTTGTTGTCCACCTTCAACGTGTCCCAGCAGTTCCTAAGACTACTGACAGAAGTTTCTCGGGAGCTTAACGCTGAAGGTGCACGTGCCTATAAATCGGCCGACTATTAGTTACAGATTATTTCCAAGCCAAAAAATCCATCTGAATGGTTAAAGATGTCTTAACATCTAATAAGAATTCACAAGGAACTAAAGATTAAGAACAAAAATTCTAAACCTCCTCTGAACCCCCCCGTAACAGCTGAAAAACACAGTGTGTTTTTGGTAATAAATACTGATGAATAAAATGTCTTTCAACTTCAAAAAAATTATTTTTATGAGATTCTTATACGGTTTGGTTTAAAATCGAACTTAATCCTTAGAAGAAACGAGTGTGAATACCTGGAGGGCTAGGAACATCAGGTGGATCCATATCCTTGGGTTTTTGGTCTTCATAATGAAATACGTCTTGTTGTATAAGCAATGTTCTCCTCGCCCTTGACATGCAAAGTGAAGCTTAGCATGCTTTTTAGCTTTCCTTTCTGAAAAATGAAGAATGGTTATTAGGAAAACATACTGTTTTCAAATTGGAAAGTAAGTTCCAAAAAAGCTTTACTATTAAGTGGATAAAGTGGGGATGATAATGTAGTAACATGGGTATGGTGTTAAAGCCTTATTCTCAACTGGCTGATGTAGTAACATGGGTATGGTGTTAAAGCTTTATTCTCAACTGGCTGATGTAGTAACATGTGTATGGTGTTAAAGCTTTATTCTCAACTGGTTGATGTAGTAACATGGGTATAGTGTTAAAGCTTTATTCTCAACTGGTTGATGTAGTAACATGGGTATAGTGTTAAAGCTTTATTCTCAAATGACTGATGTAGTAACATGGATAGTGTTAAAGCTTTATTCTCAAATGACTGATGTAGTAACATGGATAGTGTTAAAGCTTTATTCTCAACTGGCTGATGTAGTAACATGGATAGTGTTAAAGCTTTATTCTCAAATGACTGATGTAGTAACATGGATAGTGTTAAAGCTTTATTCTCAAATGACTGATGTAGTAACATGGGTATGGTGTTAAAGCTTTATTCTCAACTGGCTGATGTAGTAACATGGATAGTGTTAAAGCTTTATTCTCAAATGACTGATGTAGTAACATGGATAGTGTTAAAGCTTTATTCTCAAATGACTGATGTAGTAATGTGAGTATAATGTATTACTTTCATTTTCCTGAGCTATTCAGTAACTGGATCATAATGTAAGAGACTAATTATTATAATTATAAGAAATGATGATATAAATATATCCATGACCATTCAACATGGAGCATTACACTTGGACCTCCTACTCAGGCAGTAAATAACATTATACTTGAGCCTGCTACTCAGACAGTAAATAACATTAAACTTGAACCTGCTACTCAGGCAGTAAATAACATTAAACTTGAACCTGTTAGTCAGGCAGTAAATAACATTATACATGGATCCACTACTCAGGCAAAAATAAACATGTACCCGCTACTCAAGAAACAACATTACACATGTATCTGCTACTCGGACAACAACATTACACATGAACCTGCTACTCGGACAACAACATTACACATGAACCTGCTACTCGGACAACAACATTACACATGAAAGTGAATGATAACTATTTATACTCTATTGTTTTGTTAATCAAAAGATTAATTTACGCATGTGTGATCACCAGGTGGCCTTTTTATCTGGTGTGATTAAATATGATTTTCTTTTGACCAAGTCAGACTTTATTCTTAACATGACAAAATCCATTATACGTTACTGTGTTCAATGAAATAATTTAATGAAGGGGCCTCGCATGAAGGGTGAAACAGTAATGTTGATGTGTAGTTATAAACCTCACGTGAAGGGTGAAACAGTGATGTTGATGTGTAGTTATAAACCTCACGTGAAGGGTGAAACAGTAATGTTGATA